AAACATAAATATATATAATTTTACATTTTAGTGTTAATTATGATATATGACATATTTTGACTTATATCATTTATACAAAAGTAAAACTAAAAGTTCTACGTTAATTATTTAGAATTAACCACAATTAATTTTTAATTAAATTTAATGAATTCCGACAAAATTTGCTTATTTCTGTGAATAAGAACATTCATTCATCTATTCTTTAAAATCTAGATATTTACTGATATTACAAATTATTATCGATGCATTTATAAATAATTGAAGTAAAACTAATAAACTTTTATTGTCACTAAAATCGGCGCAATCAATTCTATAATTCAATATATCTGTAGTTATTTTACGTTTTGAACTTTTCTGTTGTATATAAATATTAAAAACGGCAAAAAAGTCTGAAGTAAAAATTGAATAAAAATACTTTGTAGGCGTTTCTGCATATAAAGCAAACATTAAACCAAGATAAACTTTGCAATTGTCTGTTTCAGACAATCTGTGATTTAAAAACTCCTACAGGTCAAACGAAGACATCAATTACTTCGGCGCAAGGCAAAGGATATACGTTAAAGAAGTACCCACTACAAAAGCAAAATCTGAATAAAAAAAATTATGCATTACATGCATATTGATGCACTGCATCAAGTAACCTCTCAATTTATGTGCTTATGCCATTTAAACACATAAAGCGAACTATCCGAAATAATTTCAAAATAAAAAAGAAACAAATATGTCGATACTCATAGCAGTCGCACATGCTCCTTCCTCGTCATCATCCATTGAGGCGCTTATGCACTTCATGCGTTGATTGTTTTATTATGATGATGTTAAATTACAATAATCCAGCAGTTGAATCGTAATCGCATTTGTGTGGGTTGTCGTCATCATAGCCATCTGTGCCTTTGGTAACTGCAACTGCTCCGGCAGCATAAGGAAAGCAGCAATCTCATTGCTATGCTGTTCCATGTTTGCTGTAGCAATTCAACAAAAGAAATTTTAAGATTTCTATATAACTTATTTTTTTAGTACATAACACATGCATATTTTTTTGTCATTATCTACTAAAGATACGGTTACGCTATGGAAGATATCTCTTTAGATATGATACTCTTATAATTTTAATATCGAATTCGTTAAAGTTCATAATTTTTCTTTTTAATAATAATATTTTGTGATATTAAAAAGTAAAATCTGAATTACAAACAAATTGCAATCACTTACTTATTATATTTGTTTTTTTTTATTTATATAGTTTTTCGGCGTAACATAGGCTATTAAAACATTCGATATTAGTTATAATTTTAATTAAAATAATAAATTTAATAATTTCCGTTTCAAACTGTCCGACAGTTTGTGTGTGTGGGTGAATGATACTGATTTTTTTTTTATTTTTTTCAAATAAAAAAAATTTATTACATTAGCATAGATTTCAATATATTTGAAAAATTAAACTGGATATATATACATTTGCTTAATAATTAGAATAGAGGAAAAAGGTATTTTTCTTATTAATTGTAGCTGTGCTTAAAGCAAAAATGCCAAGATTTAAGAATTGAATAAACAACAAAATATTTTTGGGCAATACGCAAGAACTTTACTTTATTCGGAAGTTCCAACATATTTCACATGGAACAAAACTTTAAAAAAGTGGCAGCCACGTAAACGAGGTGTTGCAGTCAATGGTTATCCAGGATTATTTTCAGCAAACACACTGGGTCGTTTATATACTGTTCATCCAAAACAACGAGTGTTTTTTTTTAAGACTGCTTTTAATAAATGTACGCGGTCCAACATCGTATGAGTATTTGAGAACTGTCAATGGTCAGCTATACAATACATCTCATGATGCATGTAGAGAATTGCAATTGCTGGAAAGCGATAATCATTGAGACATTACGCTCCGGCATGCAGTATTAAGTTCTTTTCCACATCAAATTCGTCAATTATTCGCCATATTGTTGACAACATGTTTTCTAAATAATCCCAAAGAATTGTGGGAAAAATATAAATGCTCAATGAGTGAAGATATACTACATAGACATAGAACAACAAATCATGACTTAAATATTCAATTCAATCGTGAAATTTATAACGAAGCTTTGATTATGATCGAAGACTTATGTTTACTTATATCAAATCAACCACTTAAATTATTAGGATTGTATTCGCCAAATCGTTTGGCAACTGATATGCAGCGCGAACTTCAGTATAGCTCTGAAGATTTGGTTGAATTTGTTACATGAAGCGAACAAATGTTTACACACCAACAAAAGCTCATTTATGATCGGGTTTCGAACGCAATTGCGGCAAAAGAAGGCGGCTTTTTTTTTCTTGGATGCACCAGGTGGAACTGGAAAAACTTTCTTAATTTTAGTCATTCTTGCAAAGGTTAGGATGCAAGGTAATATCGCTTTAGCACTTGCATCATCTGGAACCGCTGCGACATTGTTAGATGGTGGTAGAACAGTCCATTCGGCACTAAAGTTGCCACTAAACATACATTCATGTGAAAATGCACTATGCAATATAAAAAAACATTCCAATATGGCTAAAGTACTTCAAAAATGTCACATCATTGTTTGGGATGAATGCACAATGGCACATAAGTATTCATTGGAAGCATTAAATCGAACACTTAAAGATTTAAATGCCAACGATAGACTTTTTGGAGGCGCTTTAATTTTATTGGCAGGTGATTTTAGACAAACATTGCCAGTTATTCCACGTTCAACCTATGCTGATGAAGTCAATGCTTGCCTCAAATCATCTATTTTGTGGCGAAATGTCCATATATTGCGACTTACCGAAATCATGCGTGTTGGACTACAGAGGGATTTAGCTGCAGAACTATTTGCCAAACAATTGATGGATATTGGTAATGGAAACGTAAGTCTTCATGAAAATACGCACTTTATTAAATTGCCAGAAAATTTTTGTAAAATTGTTAATTCGAAAGAGGAATTAATAGAAAGCGTATTTCCTCACATATATCAAAATTATCAGAACCATCAGTGGCTTCAAAGTAGAGCGATTCTGGCTGCCAAGAACTTAGATGTCGATGAAATCAATTCCAAAATTCAAGCTATGCTACCTGGTAATTTAATTTCGTTAAAATCCATCGACACAGTGGTAGATGAAAACGAGATTGTGAATTATCCCACTGAGTTCTTAAATTCGCTTGATTTGCCAGAACTACCACCACACAATTTAGTTTTAAAAGTTGGTTCACCAATCATTTTATTACACAATCTAAACCCACCAAAATTATGTAATGGAACAAGATTAGTAATTAAAGGAATTATGGGGAATTTAATTGAATCAACAATATTAAGTGGAAAATTCAGAGGAGAAAATATATTGCTTCCACGCATACCAATTATACCAACCGATGTTCCAATTCAATTCAAACGATTGCAATTTCCAATTCGTTTAGCATTTGCGATGACAATTAATAAATCTCAATGTCAAACATTAAAAGTATGTGGACTGAATTTGGAAAATACATGTTTTTCGCATGGGCAACTATATGTTGCATGTTCCCGTGTTGGAAAACCTTTTGATCTATATATATACGATCAAAATGGCTTAACAAAAAATATTGTTCATGATTTATTTTAAGATAACATGTTATCTAAACGTGTAATCTAACGAGCCAATAAATAAAATATTAAATAGGTCTGAACTATGGACCTGAAAATCATATTATATATATTTAGAATTAAATCAAGAACGCAAGAAACTATTAAATTCAAATTCATGCAAAATTGTTATATTATTCTGTTTAATGAATTATTATTATTTAGACATATTGAATTAATTGCTGCAAGTTAATTGCTAGACTCATTAAATTTGATGAATGTTACCAATATATGAATGAGCTACAATTCAGTTTGAGCAATGAAGCGTAAAACGAAACATTGGACCACTAATTTTAAACAGCAAAAAACACAAGCGCAAAAAAAGATTTAATGAAATAAGTGTTATTTAACACTTACTTTGTGCTCAATGGTCGTTTGTAGATTCTTATCCAAATGCACCTTTATATATAATTTGGGTGCCATCCAATTTGGCACGAATACGTTTGCCTACGATCTCTGCTGAAAACACTAAATCTTCTAAAATAAAATACACAGCAGTTAAACTACGCGAACGGATTATTGCACCGTCTTGTTTTTACGAAAACTTTGTAGTTACTCGTTCACTATCTAAGTCTTTACGGTGCTGATATAACTCTTCCTCTTCAAGTGGTCCTTGCAAACCCTTATGAAATATATTTCTCATCCACCAGAAACTCCATCTCGAAAATATATTAGCGGTTGAGTAGGGATTCTTTGGGCGTTCAATTTTTCTTCTAGTCCGATTGATGTTAAATTTCTTTATTTACAGTTACGTTTGATTATGATAAACCAAAAATGTAGTAATAAATTCGAAGTTCAAGAAATGAAGATAACCGACACGAGCACCACTCAATATGGTGAATGCAACAAAAATTTTTTAAATCGTGAATAACAGTAAATAGCAATGCAAAAAATTTACAATATTTTTTCAATGTTACAACAAAACTTTATAGACAATGTACGGTAATTATGCGTACTCGTTCTCGTATTCGTACAACAGAAATTATTTTCAAATAATTCCTTATCCTTATGCAAATCATGCAAAATTGTTATATTATTCTGTTTAATGAATTATTATTATTAAGACATATTGAATTAATTGCTGCAAGTTAATTGCTACACTCATTAAATTTGATGAATGTTACCAATATATGAATAAGCTACAATTCAGTTTGAGCAATGAAGCGTAAACGAAACATTGGACCACTAATTTTAAACAGCAAAAAACACAAGCGCAAAAAAAGATTTAATGAAATAAGTGTTATTTAACACTTACTTTGTGCTCAATGGTCGTTTGTAGATTCTTATCCAAATGCACCTTTATATATAATTTGGGTGCCATCCAATTTGGCACGAATACGTTTGCCTACGATCTCTGCTGAAAACACTAAATCTTCTAAAATAAAATACACAGCAGTTAAACTACGCGAACGGATTATTGCACCGTCTTGTTTTTACGAAAACTTTGTAGTTACTCGTTCACTATCTAAGTCTTTACGGTGCTGATATAACTCTTCCTCTTCAAGTGGTCCTTGCAAACCCTTATGAAATATTTTTCTCATCCACCAGAAACTCCATCTCGAAAATATATTACCGGTTGAGTAGGGATTCTTTGGGCGTTCAATTTTTCTTCTAGTCCGATTCATGTTAAATTTCTTTATTTACAGTTACGTTTGGTTATGATAAACCAAAAATGTAGTAATAAATTCGAAGTTCAAGAAATGAAGATAACCGACACGAGCACCACTCAATATGGTGAATGCAACAAAAATTTTTTAAATCGTGAATAACAGTAAATAGCAATGCAAAAAATTTACAATATTTTTTCAATGTTACAACAAAACTTTATAGACAATGTACGGTAATTACGCGTACTCGTTCTCGTATTCGTACAACAGAAATTATTTTCAAATAATTCCTTATGCAAATCATGCAAAATTGTTATATTATTCTGTTTAATGAATTATTATTATTTAGACATATTAAATTAAGAGAATGTTTTTATTTAATTTGTATGTTTCGTATTTTTTTTCATAGTAATGAAAAATTTTTATTGTGATCAGAATAAAAAAAACACTAAACAAAATAGATAATAAAAAAAATAATTACTAAAGCTTTTAAGCACGTGTGCAAATGTAAACAAAAGAAACTTTTAATAGATGTTAATGATTGGGTTTAATAAAACTAAAAACTTTTTTTAAATGTAATATGCTCTTTAAACATTCTGCACATATTTAAGTATTTTAAGAAATGTGACAACATTGCATTTATGATGAAATCCATCAAATTATGTTTGTGTATGTTTATGAGAGAACAAATAGTAGAATGAATAAAAATTAAGCAAGAAAATATATTTTCTACAGTATAAGATAAATGCATACGTAGAAACACACATATATATGATACATATGCATACAGAGAAAAAGCACGGAAAAGTAAATAAAGTTTCGGAAAGTAAATTTATAGAAGACAAAAAAAAAAAAAAAAAAAATCTTAATTTATGTTTAAATGCCCTGCAATATTTGAATGTATTTGTTACACAAGCAAAATACACTTACAACACTTAGCACATCGCAAATTGAGAGGGAAACACATACCAAAAAACCATATGCTCAAAATCGCATATAAAGTTTCGTACAAAAACATCAAGAAACCGAAACTGGAGAAGAAAGTATGTCGCAGAGCAATAAAAATAAAACAACAAAAAAAAAAGACCATAATAATAGTGCCAGCAAAGATCTTTGGTATTTCAGAAATTTTTTTTTATCTAACCACTAAGTTATACATCAACCCCTAAAACTTTTCCACTTACGAATAATTAAGTATCTCATTAAAATGGCGAATATAAAAATATGCAAAAACATATATATACGTCGCAAATATTGAAGTTTATACTAAGAGAAACTGTTTAAATCTATACAATTTAATACATTGAAAACATAATTACACTAATAATTTATGTACTAATTTGGACTTGATGTCACTCATATTTGGAAAATGTGTTTCCTCTTTTTCCCCCCCCAAGTCGAAAACTGTACGTATTTTACATACACATACGCACACTAAAACATCACGAAAATATGAAGAAAAAACGACTTCGGACGAAAGTTAGACTTCGTTTATATTCGTCACCAACGTCGTTGTTCCACCGCCGTCTTATTGATCGTTGAAAAAAGAAAACTGTTCGAATTTCACACTTTTTCAAAATTAATAAAAAATAAAAAAACAAAAAAAGTAAAAAAAAAAATACTTTGCAGGAAAAATCAAAATGGCCGCAACACTTTATGTCGAAAAATATTCAATTTAAATAATTTTTAAAGAAAATTAACATATTTCTGTTAAGAATTTTATAAATTTAATCAAAAATTTATTTTCTATTATGGAAAGTTAGGCAGAAACTGACGCTAATAAAACATGCCCAAAAGTACTTATGTAACACAACTATTGATTGAAATTTATTTCACTAATACGAATTATTCATTTCAAATAAGGGAAATCCACTATTAAAGTTAAATTAATTATTAAAATTTTCCATTAAAAGTAAAATTTTTGTTCATTCTTAGCTAAATATGCTTTATGTTAAAAAAAACGTATACACACTTTTCGGAAAATTACTCCATTTTGAATTGATCCCCAGTAAATGTATTCAGTGTTTTTTTTTATTTTTTGCTTTTAATCAATTTCCAAAGATATTAACGTACACGAAACTTAAACATTAAACCAATATCACATTTTAAAGCAAAGCAATCATTATATATATGTTTAATTATACAATTTATCAACTTTGAATTAAAAAAAAAAATTTTTTTTTTTTTTTTGCACAAAAACCCAACAACACGGAGCAATAAAAAATCATAATAACAAAATATACGGTGTGTAGAAAATGTGGATTGTGTTCATTGGACACCTAATGTTGGTATGCTTCAACGAAAGCTCTGAAATGTGTAAGAGCGAACTGCGACATCTTATAGAATTTATTATTTTTGCCATAAACAAAAATATATTAAATATTTCATATATATTTAATATATATGAAATATATTAAATATTAGAATATTAATATTAAATAAAATCGAATTATTAAAAATTATTAAACCAGTAAACATTAGAATATTGAAGTTCAAATATTAAAAATTAAATAATGATAGTACTCAATTAATTAAAATAAATTGATTAAAATTTCTTATATACCAGATATTCTTATACACAATATAACATGTATATATTTTATATTATAATTGAATATCGAACCTTGACCAACCATCTATTAAATAACAATTGAACTAAAAGAACTTAACTAATACATCGCAATTATAATCAAACAAAATTACGTATTTTAACGTTTTGTATATCAACCACAAAAAAGCAACATAAACCTAAATATCTAAATATTATAATCTCAAATTTTTAATTCATCAGATTCATAATAAAATATAAATCATTTCCAGATACAAGCAAAACTAAAAAATGGAAACAAAACAAACCAATCTTGCAATTTCATCAATCACAAACAAGGATGATTCAACAAATCCAATTCATACCACTAATCCTCCACCAATGCCAATGTTAAACTCATCACATCATCAGGATGCAGAAAATGAAATAATAACCATATGTGGTAAGTATCACAAATCCCAACATTATCAATATCAATATTCTATTACAAATCATAAAATATCTTTCATAAATTACTAAATAATAATAATCTCATTACAATATTATAAAATTAATTTATACATAATATCATTATAATATTCTTCACATTAAATATCAAAATAAGTCCTAATCTAGTTGGATATATATCCACAAAAATTCTAATGTTAATATGTATTCGAAGATCTATTACATATAAATCATACATATACATCTACCAATATCTATACTCATCATAAAATTAATTTAATCCATACTATTTTATAATATATTCTATCAATCGCATGAACTAAATAATTAATAAAAATGTGTTTAAATAATAGAAAAATAATAATACACCTTATTAAA